CATGCTCCATGGATTTAACCTCCATAGACTATCCATGGATTAGTTTAGCCCATCTACATAATCATGGATCATTGTCCCACACTACAAAATCCATTGATTTACATAATCAATCCCCATATATTTAATTAGTCTTTTTTGATCAATACTCATTAAATAATATGATTTCTCAATTAATATATTATACTTATAATATATTAATAAATCATAAATAACCTTATTCTCAAAAGTCCATCCTATCAAATTGCACTGGTGAAGGAAACCCAAAAAGGACCATGCTACAATCGGGTCAAGTACATACCAGTAATAGTTATGGGCTTAGACACCAAATCCAACACAGTCTCTACCAGGTCCCACCTGTAATGCCATAATCACACGGGCCTCACCCACGGGTCCTATTCATCTAAAGCTACACAGGCCCGACTCCGCCTCGGATCTCAATGGTCCTCAACCTAGAACAAAGAATACTTCTCGACAATCCTGACCAGCATGATCAATGCACGAACTGATTCCCCCTTTATGCTCATGACCACCTCCAATGATAGTCTTCCTCGAACTGGCGAATGCTATGATCACATTGGAGTCTTACAACACTTCCAACCAACCATGGTTACCACCAATGGCCTTACCAGACCCAAACCCTCACAATCCCACGCATCCTGAGCAGAAACCTGCATCCACTCAGATGCTCGAGTCACACTTCGAATCCTAAAGCCCACTATGCATAATAAAGGAAATGTCGACCAGTGGTTGGAAGTTTCCAGAACCCCCACCTTCACAACCTCAATCTGAAGAGCCACCTGGGTCATCTCTCCCCCTGGCCAGGACGTGAAACTTGCCCTAGTTCCACACCCTTCCCAACTCCCAGAACCCCGGATTGATTCTCCCCCACTTGGATTCAACGAAGCTCTCTCACCTCTTAATTTTGATGGATTTCCAACCAATATACCTCAAATAGCATGAACCGCCTATAACCTGTGCTAATAAATACTAGCGTTCCATTGCTATCCAAACTCAATGATCGCCCAACTCCTGAAATCCTAAAGAATGCTCTTGAGATCTTAACCATCCAGATAATTTAAATCATCTCTCATGATACCTCACCAATTTCTGCATTCACCCCCAACTTCCATTCTCAATGAATCACTGGACTCTAACCATCTACAACCCATACGGATATAAAACTCCCTTGGCACTTCCAATGACCAAACAACTCATGCAACTGACACCACCATCTTCTTGCTACCGCTCCTCTCCTAACAACGGTAGCGCTTGATCCCAAAGTTCTACCACAGACGACTGCCGCTCCTACCGGAACAAATACTAAAACCACTGGACCCTGACGATACTGGAGGACTAAACCGATGTATCCTGACCACATGCCTTCCACACAATACCCCTAAACCGATCTCGACCAAAAACCAGAATAACAACCGAGCACATTGGAACCCCCTACACGAGATACAACCCCTCGATAACCCACTACCTTCCACACCTATCCATACTTTCCTCAAGAATCATCCCGAATCCTCTAAGTGTCTCAAATTTATACTCCAAGAAATCGCTAACTAGCGCAACAAAACCTACTGAAGCATCCCTAGGCTCCCCTAGGTTCCAGACCTCACCCTGCCATCAGCTGCTGAAGAACTCCTCATAATGTCAGCTACCTACCTCATGAACACAATCACTCAACAACTAACTCACATCACTTATGAGTTCCACAAATCACAAAGCAAGAAACATTCATGCAGTAACACTCCAATCCATAGAATAATCAAAAAACATTGAAGCTCACACACCACAACTCATGCTAAGAACTTCCACCCTCACTGTCGGTTGCCTTATGCATGCAAATTATACACAGAACAAGATCAAATAGACCGTCGAATAAAAGACTTTACCCTACAACCACAACCAAACAAGCAATGGGAAATAAGTCCAAATCAATTATTCTAGGGCTATAAGATCCTAACCGTATATAATTTTTAAAACATACACTTAGCAAATACTGATACCAATAGATATTCCCATTCCAACATAACATTTAATACTCCCAAGGCTACAAGGCATCACATATCAGGCCAATCTATCGTTGACTAATCAGCACTAGCATGAAAGTCTACCAACTCATACAATATACATACAAAGGCATCACTCCTAGCATTCTATCATGCAAAAACTGAGCAAATCCTTAGCCCTAACTAGCATGCGATTCACAGATTCATAAATCAAATCATATCAGACATGTATGGGTATTTTGGGAAAACTTACTTGAGCTCGGTCGATTGCATGCACCACACCCTTTCTTGTATTAAAAGACTTGTTTTTCCCTTTTTAAATCATTTTTGAAAAACTTTACTAAATCCACTGTTTGAGTTCAGACACACTCGAGAGTATGTCTGAATCCCTCAAACCAAGGCTCTGATACCAACTTGTAACGTCCCGAAAATCATGACAAAATAGTTTTTGTTTTTAGATTAATAAATCGCTAATACATATATTT